CGATGGTAGGATCCACTACTTTCCGATAGCTGGAACTTATCGGATCCGCCGTCATCCGACTATCGGAACTTATCGGATCCGACAGTATAAGATACTATCGACTATTATCTGTGCCACCTTCATCAATATATATTCATAACACATTTCTAGCGCACTTTAGATAATAACAAACATATCTTAACTGAAGATCATCAGATTAAAGTAGATTCGCGAAAAATAAATGTTCATTTTATCTAGAAAGATCAAGCGTCTAAAACTATGCGACATCTGTTGACATCATTTCTAGTTGGTGAAACAACTGCACAAGAGTCAGTATGAGCAATGGTGTTGTACTGTACAGTTACTTTTATATTATTTTGTACTTTTGAGAAATTATTATTATCTTATCTTTTCGATAAATCTGTATGCTATTTCATCTTTCTTAGTAAGACACCAATTTCTGTCACTTTATTGCAGATTGTTGTACGTCTTTTCAAAATTGTTGCCTTCTAAAATTTCATTGTATATTGAATGGTTGATCATGACAGGTACACATTTTTTATTATATTTTTTTCGACATGTTTTCACTTTAGAATTGAATAATCCAATAGAATTATTTATTGAACCAGATATTTAATATTATTTGATTGTTTTATTGACTATATAATTATTCTTTTTGATGAACTCGGTAAGATTCGCTTTTTGCAAATTTTTCTGATATTCATTAGTACCTTTTGAATTTCAAGAAAACAAATTGACAGAGAGGATTTTATTTGTCCTTAAAATGTTGAGAAAAAAATCTCTAATTTGTCGTTAGACAGGAGTGTTTGGATAGCTGTTATTGTCCATCGTTCAAGTATAAAGCGCGTTAATGATGATACAGCTGAAATAATGGTGTATGGTCGTCGAATAGAAGCAACAATTGAATATCGAGGTTAGTTTAAATTTCTCTAGTGAAGAATAATTAATATTTATCCATTGTTCATTTTAAAAATAAATTACATATTAAAATTTAATCGTATTATGTATTTTATTATTTCTGATGCAGGTACTCGTGATGAATGTCGACGTGTGTGGGAAAAGCAAGAAAAAGGTCAAAAATCGAATAGTAAGTAAGTATATATTTTTATACAAGTTAAAGCTCGATTATTTTAGATGTTGATAAAGCATATGATTCAGAAAATGAAAAAGATGCAAATGATGATGACTCAGTTGTTCATCTCAAAAGTTTATCAAGTAGAGTCTTCTGAATTTGTAGAAATAAATCGGCTTTTGAATGTTTACGTTCTTAAACATAGTCCGATGTTTCTTATCCGTTATAAGCAATATGTAGTTATATATTTTAATAAATTGACTTGCTAGAAAAAACTTATAGAAAGAAAATATTATTTAATTAAAAAAATTGTTTTCCTGCGAAATATTTTTTCATTCCATTTTGATAGAATTAATATTGATCTTTATTTATTATATTTTTAGCTTCAGATTTCTTAACAAAACCACGAACACCACAAGAAAAACGTATTCCACTTGATCCACTTGTAAAAATCCATCATCGTTCTTCAGCATTACATTCTGCAACAAAAAAGACAATTGATAATCTTCAAACACATATTCAGGGTACATTATCACTTATGAATTATCCTTTAGATCTTAATAATTTTAATTTAGTAAGTTCTCCTGAGATTAATGATAGCCAGAAAATCTAAAAAGATAGATTAACATAAGGATCCCCATAGAATGTGTATAGATTCTACAAATTTTATATTCCTGAAAAGTTTTATTCCTATAGTATATATGAATAAATATAGTATTCTCTTTTTCACTCTCTCTGTTTTAGATAATGATCGTTCTGGTGATGAAGAAAATAACCATCAGGTTCTAACATCTTCATCTAGTTTGAATTGTTTAACTTTTTTATAGTAAAATTAATGTATAATCCATTTTTTGTAGCTTCGTCTCTCATCGAACATATCGATATTCAATTTAACACAATTCGACAAGAAAATGAAAAACAATATATGCAATTATCAAAAAAAATCGATCGTAAACATCATTTTGATACAGTAAGTACTTAGGGTTATCCAAAAGTAGTGGGCCAGGTTCTTTTTTTTCTTATAAATAGGTAAAAAGAAATTTATTTTTTTACGAATAGATAGAGCGTCTTTCGCTCTATCTTTCTATGCTATTTGATCACTATTCAACTGGTATCATAATAATAAAATTCCGACAAAAACATTTTTAGTGCAACTCTAGCTGGTAGCAATAGTGCATATTATCATTCATGCGTGTTTTCATCATCTAATAGGTTTTATTAAAAAACAAAATACAGCACAAGATGCAGCGTGAAAAGCTCTACAATTTACAAAAAACAGTTTATTTTAATTGTGTACTTTTTGTTTTCAAAAAAAGCAAAATTCTGTGCGACCAGTTTTCGCCGTTGCAAAAAAATCATTTTTTTCTACACAAAAGAGAAATTTCTTTTTTCTTATTTCATATTTTTATCATCTAATACGTTTTATTAAAAACCAGATATACCACAAGATGCAGCGTGAAAAGCTCTACAATTTACATAGTAAAGCTTATTGTAATTGTTTTCAAAAAAAGCAAAATTCTGTGCTACCAATTTTCGCACGGTCAAAATTTGGTCGCTCAAAGTTTTGTCCAATTTGAAAACAAAAAGTGCAACTATAAAAAAAGTGGTCGTATGTAAATTGTAGAGCTTTTTACGCTGCATCTTGTGCTGTATTTTGTTTTTTAATAAAACCTATTAGATGATGAGAAAAAAACAAAGAAAACACGCATGGATGATAATATGCACTATTGCTACCAGCTGGAGTTACACAAAAAACGTTCTTATCGAAATTTTATTATTATGATACCAGTTGAATAGTGATCAAATAGCATAGAAAGATAGAGCGAAAGACGCTCTATCTATTCGTAAAAAAATAAATTTCTTTTTACCTATTTATAAGAAAAAAAAGAACCTGGCCCACTACTTTTGGATAACCCTAAGTACTTTGCATCCTTCTTATTACTTATTTGACATTTTCAATTATTCTTTTCTAGATTGATCTTTCTTCATTTCGTGAATCCGGTCAAGATCAAAAATTCGATGATGTGGTTTGTTTGAAACTTTCTTTTAATTCTATTTTCTGCTTTACTGTTTAGATATACAAAGATATTAATTTAACACGTATTCGAGGAAAAAATATTGGTGATTATGGTAGACAAGTACTTCGTGTGATCTTCTCACATGAAAAAATGAATATCTTCAATTTTGCCTCCAGGTGGTGCTCAATATGCTCGAAAGCCTTTAGATTTTGAAAAGTTCGAGTTCCTCCATGGTATGTAATTTTATGATTTTTACAAATACTAAAGTAAGATCAGGATAATACTGTAACGAAATTTTTCATTTATTCATCGCAAAATAGCTCTAGATGAATCTATTTCTGGAATTTGCAACAGAGTATTCGTCATAACTAAAGCTCTTCTGCACTTTTTATTAGAAAAAAAGGATCATTTTGTAGGATGATAAGAAGTTTTCTATCCTGAACACTGTGATTGATTAAGTATCTCGTAGTTAGTTATGCATCAATATATATGTGAATATATAGCTATTTATAGATTAGTTTCAGAATATTTTTATTGAATCTTAACTTCTGTTTAGATGCTACGCGTAGTAAATATCGCATTGCTGCTGATCAATACGATGAATTTTTTAATAAATTGGTCCGACCAAAATTAGCAGATTTTCTGGCTGATGAACGTAAACGTGATCGTAAAAGTACACAGACATAATCTTTCATATTTTTATCTCTTGGTGATACTTCATAAATAAAAACTGCATTATGTAGTGAGTTGTTAAAGTAAGATTTTTATCTCTTTTTTTTTTCTCTTAAGGGGACCCCCCCCCTTTCCCGACTCAAAATTTTCACATTTTTCATTTTTCATTTTTTGTGATTAGTATATAGATTTGAATGCCCTCTATCCATTGAGTACATTTTGAGAACCGAAAAACCACATCTTATATATAAAAAATTCGAAAAAAATCACAAAATATGCTGAAAAAACCAAAAAAACACAAATTTCTTTGCGTTTTTCTCAAAATCAGTTTTTTCAGCAAAAAAATGAAGTTTTCCCCCTTTTTCTCCGCCATTTCAAGTCCGATCGGGCTGAAAATTGTTTTGGTGAGACTTCAAGTGATTTGGGTTGGGCGTTTTTTTTTTTTTTTGGATACCTTCTACCAATCAAGTTTGGCAGGCTTCGCAAAATTTTTAGGATTCAAAAAACCTAGAGATTTTGCAAGGTGCTCAGTATTTTGGTTCTCCAGCCTGAAGTATTTGGAATTTTTGAAAAAAAAAAAAAACGCCCACCCCGATAGGGTCCGTCTACCCACAGTAAAAATTTCAGCTCAAACGGATGAAATTTGTGGATTTGCGGGGGGGAAAACTTTTTGCAAATTTTTGACCTTGGGGTCTCTGGAAGTCCATGAAGATGACTTCTGGCAAATTTGTGTCTATGACAACTTTTGCTCTACTACTCGAGATCTATCTACCCTGCAAGTTTCAGGAATTTTCGTTCGGCCGTTTCTTAGAAACGCCGGAAAGGGGGGGGTCCCCTTAAACAAATTATCAATACGAAAAATTGTCTTTCAAGCACTTATCTTTTGTTGTTGTACAATAACTTTTATTATCATTGTGTGTGAAAACTATTTGAAAATAAACGAATGCATAATATTAATAAAGCTAATGGAAACT